TTTTTCAAATTTTTCCGCTTTTTAGTGGCAGCAAATTTTACTGGTACAACTACAACAAAATGATATCAACAATGAGCTCCCCACCAACCCATAATGAACTCAAGCACACTTTGTGCTTCATATATGTACTCGACTCGCGCCTTGCACATATGTCACACAAAGTGAGCTTTCGTCCGTTATGGGTTGGCAAGTCATTCATTATTGTTTAAATAAAGTTGGAGCATTTTATAATAATAATAATAATAATAACTTTATTGACTCCGTGTAAAAAGATTTACATAGGATAAGTACAGCAAAAAAATGAGTTTTAAAATAATAACATGTAAAAATATTATAAAAAGTATGTAACTAGTATTTAAATATTAAATAAATCTTTGTGTTGTGTTTTATATGGGTGTAAATGTTTTAAAGACCTGAGATAATCTGTAATAAGGTAATTTAAGACATCAGCTCAAAACACTCAGAGAGGCTACTATCAGACACATGTACACTGATTTGCCTTATGTGAAAAAATCATCAATTTCAAGTCAAGAGCCTACTTTTACCACATAGAAGTTGTTGTCGCTAGGCGCAAACAAAAAAAGGATTTATCATTGAAGTCTATCATGACCATTATTGATCGTGAACACTCAAGTTTGGTTCTACAACGACTACAATTGAAAGACCATTTCAATAATCTCCATCTCCACATGGTCTCCTTTCAGCTGTATTTCTATCTATCAGTTTTTCTACAATATTACTATAGTGACCTATTGCGAGACCCCCTGTGATAGTACCACTTGTGTATTGTGTAGTGGGGCAAAAAATTGAATGCATACCAGTCTAGTACATTGCCTTGATAAATTGGGTTATTATAGACTGACCAGGAGGTCATTGTTGCCAGCTCACTTTCAAGTGGACAATAAAATTCTCTGTTCCTTGTTATAACTATACAAATACATTCAGGTTGTTGGTGTTTTATGATGAACTTTGGCTTAGTTTCATATATGGCATGAATGTTACTTGGCATATTGGTAAATGATTGAAATTGCCTTGGGCACATTTTGAGCATGTGTGCACAGTGACTGGTTGGCAATTTCATCCACAAAAATAAAATAATACTTTGTTCGCTACTGATTTTTTTTAAAAAATATACTTGTACATATATACTTAACAAAACAATTGTATGGGCAACATTTTCACAGCAGATTGTTAGCTAGTGTTCATCTATGCAAAATGTTTTGCTGTAGAAATG